AGCTCTTATAGAAAAGGGAGGAGAAATCTGGCTCATGAGGATGAGGAGGAAGAGGGGGATGTCAGTGATCAACCCCCCAGAACAGGGCCAACATTATTATCTCTACAGCCCCAACACTGTACTCTCAACCCGTCTTTCTAGTCCTGCTGTCCCTGGAATAGCCTTGTATATACTGTCCTTTAGGGGCCGCCCACAGACGGCCAAATAGTGTGGACACATGCCTGATGCTTAGTTCAGGGCCCATATCCTACACACTGGTTTCTGCTGCTTTGTTAAGCTGACTGAGGGTTACATCAACACTACATTCTAAGGTCATATGAATTAACTTTCACAAACCTGCTTTCGAAGATTTTGCAAGTGAAGACAGTTTGGATACAAAGGTAATAAGTAAAAATAAATTTTTCACAGCGGCCATTTTGACATACAATAGTAGGGTAAACACCAATTATACCAATTAAGGTTCCTTTCCATTTAGTGTAGCAGAGCCTTTCCAGTGTGTGTGCACAATAGCAGCTTGACTCTGTTTTACCCAAATGTAACAAACCTTGATGAGTATAATGGGCAACACCTGTGTTTACCCTACTATTTCATGTGTCAAAATGGCTGCTGTGAAAAAAGTCTATTCTGTAAGAAGAGCTGCCTTCAAAAAGCAATTACACTACAGAATCCTGAAACAGACTACACAAGCTCACTGATAAAGCCAAACAGAATCTGTGGAGTACAAATGCAACATAGTGTGTGTTATTTATTTTAACTCAGAATATTACAACTTTGTTTTCAAAGTCTGTGATTTCTTTTCCCTCATCTATTGAATCATAACTTTCAAAATATTGTTACTTACAGTAAATGTCAGCATCATTTTATTCGGTAGCACGTGAGATGAAAATAAAAAAATAAGACATTTGTCTACAGGAAAGTATATAGATGAAGTATATGAAGTTTTCAATAGCGAGTGAGCAGTTACTATTATTATAATTGAGAACAACAACTGCTTATGCTGACTAAAGTTTAACTAAAAAAAATCCTCTGATGTTTGTTTCCATTTTCCTGTATAAAGTACCAAATTACTAACTTATTAATTAGTAAACTAACTTGGAAATTATTAGGAAACATCAAACATCAAATGTGTCTCAGCCTCATGTGATGATATAAAGGCAGCAGCCTGATCTCTGGGGACTTGGTCACATGTATATATGTGGCATCATACATGCATTCTCCAGTCGGGAAGTAAAGGCACCCAGGAGAGCGTGGTAGAGCGCTGTCGTATAAGTGGGGTGCATTTCTATGGATACCCACCCATGTCCCGGTACAATAGTCATGTGTGCTTGTGAGTGGTATACCCATGTGACAGCTCATCGTCTGTCACAGCATGCAGCCACTGTCTCAACGGGGGCCTGATCTGGCCAGTGCTGAATGGAAGTAGCCTCTCTACTGTCCAGTGAGAGAAAGAATGTGAAAACCACCACGGTCGCTGACACTCGGAGGCTTTGGTTGCTAGAAACCCTGTGCCAGGCTTCAATTAGGCAGCCATGCATCGTACACTGAAACAATGGTTGTGTTTGTGGGTACAGTAAGTCCGGGACATTCCCATACAGCGTAAACACATAGCTTAAATCATCAAGTTGGTTGCCAATAGTTTACCTCATGTTTTCATTGTAGAGGGACATGGAGACACGTAGATACAGGCTGCCGCACTTTGACTGGGGTCAGAATGTATAATTTTCAGCCAGTACACACCTCTGCAGTTACGCAGTAGGAACTGTGAGGCCAGAGATTCACTCTGCGATAACCTTAGGGGCCTCTGCGTGCAGCAAGTGCATTCCAGCGTTCCCTGCTCCCTCTCACCATGTTCTATGCAAAGCTAACCTTGGTGTTGATGAGTGAGAAAAACCTGGGAGTAAGGAAGTGGTTGGGTCCTCCAGGGAGCGCCAGCACGCCTGTCCCTCAACCACGGAAACCAGCGTTATGACCTCTCACAATGTTGTGGGGACAATTCATGGAACTCCAAGGGGAAGTGCTTTTGGAGATTACGTCCTCCACACTGCTCTCAGGTCTTTGTGAAGTTGGTGGAGGTAAGTAGAAGGAGTGGTGTGGTGATCGGATGGATTGATAAAATAACTTCTGATAGTGCTCCAACTGATAAGGCCTCCACATCAAACGCCATGTTCTCCAGGAGCTGAACCCTTTTTCTAGAATGCTAACAGTGGCCAGTGAAATAAGCTGCTCATGACATAAACATTTTCAGGGGGCATTAAACCTCAAATGCATGCCAAGATCTTTTTCATTTCTTGTTTTTCCTACTTTACCTCCCTCACCGTGTTTCCTCAAATCCCTCCCATGTTTTTCAAACCCTCAGGCCACCTTTTTACATTCTTTCAGGCTCTGAAGGAGCATTAGGAGCCAAGAAAAAGGCAGCAACATAAACTCTGGCCATCGCCCCACTGAACCTCTGGACTTCCTGAGAGTAAGCCAATTCATCTTGGACTTTTCGTCAGTTTACCTAATAAATCAGAACCCACGGTGTGCCGCCTGCAAACACCCCGGAGGAAGGCTACTGCTGGGCAGGTTAGCCGAACACAACCTTGGTCCCTCTGCAGACTTCACTTGTAGACGGTCACATAAAACCTTGACACTGCAATGGTTGGCATGAGCTAGAAAAAAAATATCATTAACCTTGACATTGACCTGTAGCAACCTCTTGGCAAGTGGCCACAGTTTCTATCTATCAACGTAATTAACCCATAAACTGTTCAATAAATGGAGAGTGCGCCATCAAAGAGGGGTCTATAAATAAAAAAAGAAAACAGCACAGCACATTCTAAACCACCAAATACAAATCAGAAGATCCACAGTGCTGACACTTAACTCCTAGAATGAACCCTACAGTACCCTGCAGTCCCATTTCATCAAATTCTCTTGAGGTGCTGATTTCCCCACCCAATGCTTCTCTAACCACCATGTTTCATAACCACTCTGTTGCTTCACCAGAACAGATCCATCAGTCAGAAACTCAGTCATGGAAATAAACAAACTCTGCAAACCTCAAAAACGCTGCCACTCTGAGAGGGGAGGAAAAAGATGACTAAGATAGAAAGAGAGGCACACTGAATTTGAAAGAGAAATGTAAGCTAGAAGAGGGGAGGCAGGGACAGTGAGTAAAGTTCAATACCAGGGGGGTGTGAGGCAACTCTCTTCCCCCCTACTCCTTTCCTCCCATTCGTGCCGTGGCAAAGGGTGGATGGGTGGTAGGAGGGGAGGGGGACGTAGTTAAAAGCCTATCCTCTCACCCTCCTGACCTCCCACGGCAATGAGCGGAAAAACAGCTGTGGGCTGCACACTCCCTGCTCCTCAAACACTGTCCCATGGGCCTGAAGCACACATATACAAACACACAGGCACACTCATAGGATGTGAACCTGCAGATGCACTGTTAACACATGCACCCGAAGGTCTTTTCTCTTTCCTCTATCTCAAACACACATACATTAACTCAGCTTATGTAACTTTGGAAAAAAAAACACATTAAATGTGATTGACCTGGTGTTTCAACTTCTTACCAACTTCAGTCTGGACCACATTTCAAGCAGATTAGTGGATATAGGCATTATAAGCTGGAAACTGAATAGGAAGAGTTAAAGTGACATGTCTCTTTTCACATATTTAACATGACATATCAACTAGTGGGTTTTCAAAGAGGTCAATTCATTCTACAGACTTCACCACAAGGCTGGCTGACTTTGGTTCCAATGAACTGGGTTACCAAGTTGATGGGCTGTCTACTTCTAAATAAATGTAACACATGCTAGCGCCATTATGTCACTGCTTTAGATCATTTGCTGCTAAAAACTTTCATCCAGATGTAACATTTGAGAACATCCTGTTTTTTGAGCATTCTTCTTCTTTTTACCAATTGCTTTAAAAGTGATAGCCTATAGTCCAGAAAGAAACAAAAGGCAGGTTGTCAGAGGAGTCAAAAATACATACATGCACAATACTATTAAAGCTGCAGGAAGGTGATTTTTATAAAATATCTTTTTGTCAAATTTTCTGAAACTTTCACTATATTCTGACAGTAGATGTGGCAGATATTCTGTGAAAAAAGATTGGGTTCCTCTGGCTCCTCCTAATGGTCCTCATGGGATTTGCATGAATCCACCGGGCCTGAATGAAAACAACCAATCAGAGCCCAGAAAGATTTGGGTTGGTGGTTAGGATATAGTTGATTGTTGAGTCTTATTCCCAGGTCGTCAAATATCAATTGTGGGAATGAAAGTCAACAGACTGATTGGTTGTTTTCCTTTAGGCCCTGTGGATTCTTGCAAATGCCATTAGGACGAGCCAGAAGAAGCAGATTTTTTACTGTCAGGATATAGTGATAAGTTTTAGCAAATATAACAAAAAGTTATTTCTATAAAAATTACCTACTGCAGCTTTTAATTGTATAGCATATAAAAATATTTTTCCTTCAACCTCCAAATACTTAGTTAAAAAAACAGATAAAGATAACTTTTAACAAACTTTAAAGATTTTCTCTTACCACCAATAAGTTGATTAAATAATTTACCGAAAAACTTTATTTACCCTTCTATCTCTCACCAACTCATTTGATTTTTTAACTACTTAGTTTCCCATGGGCTGAGTCTAAGTTAATAATAATAATAATAATAATAATAATTTTACTCCATACAATAATTTACCCAAGAAACACAAATGTATCAGACTACAGCAATGAAGGACTTTTTCTTACCTGAAAAAGGTAGCACTGAAAAAAACAAAACACACTGAGAACAAGCCTAGCTACTACTAAACTAACTAACTAAATCATTAAACTATAACAGCCAGTGCAGGTTATATTATTCACCCATAATGCATACTACTGTAGCATTACTGTATAAAGTCTTGTTACAGTAACTAGCTGAAGCATTTTAGCCAGCAAGCTAACAATAATAAAGTAGCTAGCTTTTGATAAGTTTGTTGTGATGAGGAAAAGAGACATGGACTTAACCTAAAACAATTTTATTACATGGAAATTGATAGTATTAGCACTGCGCATCTTGGTTGTTGGCTGACTGAAACATACTCATTTACCACAGGTAAGACGGTGTTATGGAGATGAGCGTAGTGTGTTTGTACAGCAGAGCTACAGTAGTATACGTCATTACCTTCACTTAGATGAAGGTAAGGTAGATTTAAGATGAAATTTATTTTCAGGGCACTCTGAAAGCTCGCCTGGTAGAGCGAGTTGCATGCATCATGTGTCAAGGCTGAGTCCATACCGTAGTGGCCTGGGTTCAAGTCTGCCTGAGGCCCTTTGCTGCATGTCATACCATCTCTCTTCCCTGCCCTTTCTGTCTCCCTCATGTTAAAACACAATGAGCTAGTCAGATACACAAAAGAGGACTGAAATATATAAGTTTTTAATTCAACTTATTGGAGGTAAGGTTAAAGGAAATCAAAACAATAAAAAATGTTTCTTTTACCGTATTCCTAGACTCCTTTTTACTATTTAACTAATAGTAATGATGTCAGTTATAATTTTGATGTGTCCGATACCCTTTTACTACCTTTTGTCAGTTTTGAAGTTCCATAATAACCAAACACAGTTTGCAATACAATCTCGATTATTATTGATTATTATTGGAACAACAGTACAAAAACAATATCCATAGTGATTGTGTTTGAGTTGTAAACAGATGATGTTGCTTATCTGTGTAAATTATAATATCCATGTACAACAGATTTTGAGTCAATTGAATCTGTTGAACAAGCTTCAACATGAGGAACTGGACTTGCATCAGTTTCCACTGTACTGGCTTTAATTACAACAGAGTAATCTACAGAAACGAACGCAGTCATCAGTCCCTTATTCTAGGTCCCAAACATATTCACATACAGGCCTCAGTAACACCCTCCAGTGTCCATGTTTGGAACAGTCCAGTGCAGAAGCTGCCCCTCACCTCCTCAGTGAGGCATCAGACAATAGCACCAGCAGGTGTCCACCAATGAATGTGTTAAAGCAATTGTAAGAGAGTGGAGCTGAATTCTGAGATCTCCCAAGAGCCTAGCTTTTCTTTAGCTGACTGCCATTCTTCAAGGATTCTATCAAGCCCTTTAATCTCTCACTGGCGAGCCCCGCTCTCCTTTTCTTGTGACTTTTGATCTCTGCAACCTTGGTGGGCTGGAGCAGGGTAGCGAGTCCCCAAGGTGTCGAAGCGCTGCCTCCTTTACCACTTCTAGATGTGTTGGTTTTAGTCTGCTGGAGCAACCAGGTGCTCTCCTGACACAAAGCCACAAAGCGTTCTAGCTGTGCGGCGTTGACGTTCTTGCTGATGTTCAGAGAGCTGTCGAACGGGTTCTGGATGTGCAGATGGGTTTTCGCCGGCTTGTTCTGCTCTTTGCCCTGGAGAGAGGGAAGGGGACAATGCTGGCAGATGAAAATACATTCTTGAGCAGCAGCAGCAGCCATTAAGGCGGTCCTGTACAGTATGTTTTGGTCCATCTATCTTGTTGGTCATGGTTTTTAGCTCTTTTCCACTGTATCTGGGGCATTTATTGCTGACTGGAACACCTCTCCCCAGGCTAGCAGATGGGAGAGAGAGAGACATGGACATGGCTCTGGAGGACATTTTGACTCTAGTCATGACAAGTGAGAATAATTCGGAAAGGGGAACCAAAAAAATGTCAGGAATGTGCTAGAGCGATATGAAAACCTGCTATGCACACCGAACATGTTAGCAACGGAAGCATATATGATCTGTACCTCTGTCTACCAGTCAAGGCCATCAAATGAACCATCAATCTGTGGGTCAGAGAGAAGTCAAGAACCTTGTATGGTACTTTGCATGCCGTATTCTGCCTAAAGCCTGACACTAAAGGGACGGGAGGGACAGGAGATGGCAACATAAAGCCATCAGTCATAGGAGAGGAACGAACCGGAGAATTGTAGCACAGTAAAGCAGATTTATGGCTGTTGCTCCTCTGGTGAAAGCCTATAGACATGGGTCATGGCCACAGTCTACGTGCAGGCAGTGTCAAACTTGATAGTAGTCTCATATATTAGGCGGCAGGGTCCTGAGGCATCAATTAATTAAACTCCCAGCACTAAAGTCCTGCATCTCATAATGTGCCACCAAAGTATGAGCACCGTATTTATCAACTAAATTTCTAGGGGCAAAAGTAATAGGTGATAAACAAGATATTATTTAATGCTACAAATTTACTTTACTTTATTACTATACTGTACAGCTAGAGAGGCACACTTTGCCACTGGAAAGTATTAACCAGGCACAAACAGGCAACAACGGGCTGAATATGGTTCTAAATAGAATAAATATGCGTTTGTTTACACTAAGCCTGATGGAGCTCCTAATTGGGATCCCAGCTCAAGGGCGCCGGGCCCCGTGGGGCCGGCATCAATCACATATGACAGGGACAGCTGTCATCTGTGTGTGTGGGAAGACGCCATCCACCAAACACTGCCTTTATTACCAACAGATTTCTCTGCTGGAGCTCAGCTCTGAGGCTGGGAAGAAAAGTTGAAAGGAGGCTGAACTGGATTTTCTTTTAGTGCTGTAGCTCTTGCCCTGGTTTCTCAGAGATGCAACGGTTTGATTTTCAAGCCAGAAGAAAAGCCATTCCAGTAGCAGGCTGGCCTAAGGGTTTGCTGGATTTTTGAGGCATTTGTTAAATGTTTTCTCCTTAAATATATTATTTTGAAAAGGTCCTGTGTGTAGGATTTAGTGGTGTCAAGTGGTGTAGTTGCACATTGCAACTCGCTCACGTCACCCTCCCCTTCCACGCGCAAAAGAGAAAGTACGGTGGCTGTGAAACATGCGAACAGTTCTATTTAGAGAGTATTAAAATGTCTTAAATATTAGATTTTGACAGGTCTTAAAAAATTATTGAATAAATAAAGTTAACATGACTTGTATACAGTTGAATATTTCAGTCTCGCTTTTAAATGTCTCTGGGGAAAATGTGTATTGATCGCGCTGTAACAACTGAACAAAATGAAACAGACATGCAACCAATACAGACTTTCCATCATATCCTTTGTACTTTTTGCCAGTGTGGATGGACATTAAAAAATTGCATTCATAACAGTCTCAACAAGAACAATAAAACACAAATAAACAAAAAATACATCAAACATTTCTGTACTGACATTTCTTATTACATAATGTTCGACATGTCTGCGACAAGCTAATATCAGCCCATATTGGCCCGCCTGATTTATTGGTCCAGCTTTATTGTGAGAATGAGATCACAGTTTCAGACAACAGCAGCAGCTGGTGCCCCACTGCAATGTCCACGAGAAAGCCACCACTCATTTATCTGCTGAAGTGATTTCTTCATCATACATAGGTAGGTAGGTAGGTAGGTAGGTCCTAATGGCTTTATTCAGACACAAAAGGACAATTACGGTAAGAGCCAAACTGCTTTTTGATATTTGCCTGAAGGGTTAAATGTGGGCATCTAGTTCAACTTGCGCGTAAACCTGAAATAACTCCAAAATTGTTTTGGCCACCTTTTAAGTTAATATGGCAATATTAACAAACAGTTATTTACACATGCAGCAGTTACGGAGAAACATTAGCATTCATTGGCAATCATGTGTCCGGTCATCTGATGAATCCTGAGGGAAATGCTCCACTATGTTCACCAGCTAGTCGCTAACTGTGTCTGTCTGCTGTTTACTGCTGTGCAGGTAGTATACAGTGGGTTTTAGAGAGTTTTCTTTGAAAACAACACAATCAGAGCAGTGAGAGTGAACCAAAACGGTTAAGTAAAACTCAATATAAAGCTCTGTAAAGCTGAGGGGAGCAGATTCAGGTGATAATTTTCTAAAGGCTCATCACTATCAACACCACCTTTCACATTGCCACATTGTTTTTACATTTTTCATTGTGATTACAATTTAGCTTTAAGATTAATGTGAACTGTCATCATTGGGCTTATTCTTTGGTTGCATGGGACTTTATGGATAATAATCATACATACCTTTCTGATATTTATGGACATCTTGCTGAATGCAAAGGTGCTGTAGAATTCAAAGAATTCATGCAGAAGTTGGTCTGAGACAAAGTGAGAAAAGTCGAGTTAGCCACTAACAGATACATCGGTATTAATCAAAATGAATTGTGGCCCTACAGCCATTGATTCTACGCTCTTGTGCTCACCCAGTGTTTCTGTGTTTCTCTGCAGCTGGATCTTGCTCAGGTCGCTGACAAACGTGCAGTCGTTCCCCTCAATCACGCTCTTGTCCGTGGGACCTTGTAGGACGAGAGCAGGGGATACAAGGTAAACGACTGCCTTAACAGACGTATGATGGCCATAAACAAGACACAGACAGATTGCGTCTGTGCATTCATGGAGAGGAAACAGAAAGACACGGGGAAGGAGAGAGAGCAGGTGCATGTACACGTGTGCGTGTGTGTGTATGAAGGTGGTCAAAGGAAATATAGAGCATGGATCACGTCCTTGCTTGGCTGGTTTACTTCTCCAGCAGTGCCCTTGTTACCAGTCTCCTTCACTTCGACGAGGCTGCTGCTGGTGGTGTGTGTGTGTTGTGTGTGTTTCTGTGTTCACCACCCGGTTTAAACATAGCTGCCTGTAGCTGTGTGATGGAATGTGGTTGTGTGAGTGGTGTGTGTTGTGTGTGTGTGTGTTTATGTTCATCCGACGAGGGGCACGGTCCATCGACCTTTTCCCAGACCTGATGGCCTTTTTATTGTCCTGTAAGCACTCCGTGTGATGACTCTTGTTGCTAACGGGACCGGAAGAAGCGAGACGGTGGAAGGGGGGGTGGAGGGGAGGGAGGGGTAGATTGCTTTTGGAAGGCAATTATCAGGCGGCCAAGGTGACAGAGAGAAGGAGTAGACAGAGATGGCGGAGCTGCAGGGGACTCGCAGGCAGACTGGTGCGCTGGTGGTTCACATTATCACGCATTTATTATTATGTATGCAAAGTGATAAGAGTAAAAGAGGGATGGTTTGCTCTTAAGTCATCTACAGAGCTTCAATGTGCATTTATAGGAATAAAATAAAACATGTATAGACACTCCGGTTGATGGACATGCTTGGTACTTTAGGTTGGCACCAAGGCAGCTGGGTCATACCTGACATTGAAATGCTTCTGTTGGCCACAGTTAAGTTTATAAAGTTATGGACAGGTAAAAGAAGCGTTGAGAAAGTTCTGTACAATCAGCATGCATGTCGGGATGGCAACAACAGGATAGGAGAGCAGAAAGAACGGTACCATGGAAAACCCCATGCTAACCTCACTCTACTCAGTGGTTGACATACTTTCTATGGAAACCTCAGTAAGTTGAATGCATGGTGCAAAACAACACTGTTAATGTCAAATCTATACCTGATAAGCTGAGAGGTCTATTGCAGATTACATGCATGCATAACATTGCAGTTTGTTGTGTAATGTGTTTATTTTAATAACATTATTATTCTTTATGTTTGTGATAAAATCTCCTAATTGTATATCACATTATTGATCAATACAATACTATTAAATTATTCAAGAAAATGAATTGAAAACAAATAGTTTTATGGATACAATAACCATTCATCCATTTTTAACTTAACCAGTGAATAAATTACTTGGCAAATCAGGGTACTTTATCATATTGATGCAAAAAACATCATATTAAAAAATCCAATATTACCAGAGAACTAATTTCACTTTAACCCCTACAATAAAACAACTTTTGTTTTGTTTTTTAGTGCAGGAGATCTTTAGTGGGAGGTAGCAGGTCAACAGTAAAGGCAGCATAGAAGTGGTACCTGACAGCTGGGAATCTGAAGATGTATTTGAGAGGCAGCTCAGCGCTGTATGTCAAGTGTTACAGTGTAATTAACATTAAGTTTTGTTTAGGCACTTTTTCAAATATTGAGTGTTCTTAGGGGCTGTTTACAGACTTAAAACATTATGGTTGAAGTATATGAAGGTCATTTCTATGCTCACTTATGTTTTATACCTTGTTGCAGCAACTTTTGGGCTGGTACCATTTGTTACACTTGAAGATTCCCTTCAACATATCACATTAAGACACCAAGACCTTGAGGAACACCACAAAAAAAATTCATGCTTTGATTTGGTATCAAAAACATTTGACATTTGGAGATTTCTGTAAAAATTGCATTTTTTGGTGATTGCCCTCTACTATCATAACTCCACCTTTAAAAGCCTGCCGCCCCTGATTCCAGTTTTTATTTTTGGTTATTGGGGAAGGACTAAGGCAAATTGAGACATTGTAACATCGTCATTGTCTTTTTAAGGATAAAAAAGAGCAACAAAAAGGTTGATCACAGAAAATTACACTCTAGGGTGAGTGACATGTCGTGCTGGGTGGTACCTGCAAGGTCCTTTAGGTGGTCCAGGCAGGGGATAATGGGAGGATTCCTCCTCTGCAGGAAGAATAGCACCATGACGGTGAGGGAGAAGTTGGTGATCCAGGCCCCGGAGATGCTGCTGGTGATGCAATGAACTCGGGCCCAACAGCGCACGGTGAATACCAGGTGACGCACCCGTGGGTCCAGCTCTCCATACAGATAGAGCAGTTCTGTGCTCTTTATCGCCACCCTGTGGAGAACATACAGGGTTAATACTGGTCTTCCACCATGCTGCAACTTTTGATGGGGCTTCGTTGTGGCTCTTCATTTCAGGTTTGGAATGTGGAGACACTTCACTGGTTGAGAATTAAAACATCTCATAATTTCTGCATTTTTAGTAGGGCTGCACAATATGGTAAAATTATTATTTTGACAGATATTATTCATAATTTTACAATAAAACAATTTTAATTTTCACTGAAAAATGTATATTTGTTAGGGTCTGTACCAAACATGTTTTCTTACATCTGGAGAACACTGCACGCTAATGCCGTTTTGTCACACATTTTACATTTATCAAACAAATTGCAGATTCTGCTATTTGGATATTGCACTTGGCCATATTGCAATTTCGATAATATTGCGATCAATTGTGCAAGCCCAATTTTTAGTTTGCTCTATTATCTAGAATGACTTTAAATGAATGACTGGATAAAAATTCAGTGCTGTAGAACAGCCAAATAGGCTGCCACCCACCACCATCTTAATACAAATATAAAATAGGAAAAAAGGCAGTTAATTGCAGAAAGTAAAATGATATCCTACTCTTTGTATAGTTTTTGACATCATGTTGTTGTCAGTAACTATGTTGAAGTGATTTAAGCTTATTCAACATTATATTGATGGAAAAAAAAAGCAATGTTCTCTTGGATATTTGGGCACAGTGTCCCCATGTGGGCTTAATGAAAAGTTAGATCTATCTTGTTTTAGTGGGTAGTGCACTCTTTCAAATGGCTGGTTCACTGATTTGTTTGTTCTTTATCTATAGCACCATTGTAGGCCTGCAATAAGTCTTAATAAAAAGACCTATGAATATATAAATATTAACATACTTTAAAAACATCCATATGACCAATACTGTATCACATTGAATGTGAAGGGTCAGTGAAACTAACATTAGAAAAACCACCACCAGAGAGCAGCCTTCAGCTTGTCAGTGACTGTCTCACTTATTCTCAGCTGTTTTTGCTTTTCACATACACACATACCCCTCAGAGAGGAAAAATGCTGTGCTTCAAAGATCTCAGAGCAAGATTTAAAAAAAAAAAAAGTCCCCCTCACATCCACCCACAGAGGGTGGTTTAACTCCATTTCCTTAGAAACTGCAGTGCGGTTTTCTGTACGTTAGCAGGTGTGTACATGTTTGTGTTACACAATCAGCAGAGACCATAAGACCATTAGGGAAGAAGGGGAGAATTGAAACACAAACAAACCCCCTCTTTGGCCCTCCTGTTGAGTTTCACTGTGGCAAACATGCAACTGAACCATCACAGCACTTCCTGCCAGAGTCTGGTTTCAGTTGGGGGCTTTTGCAACGCCAGTGTGGCCAAACAGTACAGCACGACATCAAACTAGCAGTTTCTGTGAAGTGACATTTCAACTGTATGAATCTGACCCTTCTTTAACATGCGCTGCAAAACCAGAGCCATGACAAATACTAGTTCACACCGTTTATGGGAAGTAGGCCATGGTCATGGTATGTGCAGAGAGTGAATACCTGTTGTTGGCTGTGAGGTCACACTGAAAGCCAGAGGGCTGGTGGAAGAAACGGACCAGGGGACATTGTGCGTTGAGAATCTTCTGCACCCCATCACACCCAGGCCCAAACTGGTCCACACACTCTCCGAGGAAGGACAGGATGCGCTGAGTGACGGCGCGCTCCGTGCTGACACTCTTCAGCCGGTACTCCAGGAACATACCCGATTTTTGCTGCACACAGACAGTTGAGACACATTTAATGAATCAATTATCAAATTAGTTGCAGATTAATTCAATAAATGGTGCATGGCTGCATTTATATAGAGTTTTACAATTTGCCTGCCATTGTAAAGCTGGAAAATTGACCAAGTTGACCTGACCATTGGACGAAATTTGAGCTTTAACGTCTTGCAAGGAGACAGTGAATACTCTGCATGAAATGACAAATACTCAACTGTAAGAAATAAAATCCAATATTTTTATTATTTATTATTAGATGGAGTTAGAGAATCTTATCATAATCAACGGTGATCGTTATATGTATTTTTATTCAGACTGTATTACTGCGGTAATGCTTCGCGTGAACTGCTCTATTTTGCATTTATAAGACGTATACAAGCTTTATTAAATAATTTATGAGACAGTATTTGTCAGTAATTATAACTCTTCCCATGATATTTTATACTATTAGCACACTGTTTAACTACATTGTCATTCATTATCTGTTTATACAGCAGCATCCACTTATGGGTCCCCACATGAGGATTTATAGATGTTGACACAAATCTATAATTAAATCTATATATTCATGTTAATACTGCATACAAATATTAAATAGGATTTAACATTATTGCACCTATTCCTTCTCAGCAAAAGGTTATGAAACCAATGAACTTCATAACAAGAGGGGGGGAAGCTATGAACTATGAGATGAGTCTGACAATGGTTTCCTTTTTTCAAAAGCAGGATCTTCATAAATACTGGATTTTACCTACGCAATTCCAAATGATTTTGACACTTTCAAGACACATAGCTCCACTGATCGAATAAAACTGATTCCAGGGAACAGTAACTGAATTTATGCCAATCCTTTACCAAGATGGTTTTCGCCAAATTTCAAAGTAAACACTTCAAAGAATTTTCAAAGAAAGCTTTGATGCAGCAGCCAAATGTGAGTGCAGGATTTTTGCCGTTCACAGCTGTCTTAAGTTTCATTCAGCAGAACTCGCAAAACTCAACTGGCAGCAAACTTTTTGCCTTAAAATGATAGTGACAGCTGAAGAATGACAGGAAATGGGAGAGGGAGGGCATTACACGCAGCAAAGGGCCAAAGGTCGGAGTTCAACCCCTGGCCACTGCAGCAAGGGCACAGCCTTGGCAAATGGGGTGCCAGCTCTACCACGTGAACTTTTTTTATTTTGTAAACTTAAAAGGTAACATCAGAGAATATTAACGTAATTGGCTGGGTTTGGTTTTTACAACTAATTGAGTCTAAAAAAGCCTACTAAAGGACGACCCCAAACTCCCATTTTTACCTTCTCTGTTCTTCTCCCACTGATGTTATCCAAGTCCAGAAACATGTCCAGGTCACAGCCCAGCTTTCCAAAGCCGTTTACTGATGAGCCAAAAAGCTTTATGGTGCATTCTGGGAAATAGGCAGCAGCAATGTCCCGTAGCAGAGAGCAGACTAGGAAACGCAAACGGATGTTATCATCTGTTAGCTGATAGGTTTCCATCAGGGAGGTTACCTGTTGGTCTATCTGAGGGGGGAAAGGGGAGACAGGTCTTGGTTAATAACACACTCCTTGATGCATATATCTGTTTTAGACTTGAACATATGCATTTGCAGCCACTGGATTAGTCCTTTAGCCTAAAACGCTAAATCATGGTGTAATAACCCAACAACTTACACTTTCCTTCCTGGACAGTCTGTCTATGAGCTGGTTGATGGGAATGGTGGTTTGTGGTTGGCACTGTTGGCCTGACTGCTGGTTTGGTGAGGCCTCTGAGCCGTAGTGGCACAGTGACAACAGTCTCGATTTAAAAGGCAGCGGGAACTCATTGGAGACGCTGGGGATGGTCGCCGCTTCAAGTAACGACTCAACACTTTCCCGGTTGGCAAATTCCACAACGGCATACAAGCCCTGCGGAATAACACACAATTTCATTGTCCAACTGAATCTTAGCATGACAGTGAAGTTTGTCATATGTGCACCTTTTAATATGTTAGAAAATGCTAATGCTTGGTCAATAACTTACATTTCTTTCATAAAAGAAGTATTTCTTAATATCTCCATGTCTTGAAAAATACGTGAGGAACTTTTTCTCATTGATTTTGGGAGGGCAGTTCATGAGAACAGATCTCTCTGCCTGCCCTTGTCTCTCTACCTGGACAGCAGAGAAAGATTTGCGTCCATCCTTTTCATCTGACAACAAAAAAGCAGAAAAATTAACAATTACAAAAACAATATTTTTTTTCTTTGAGCAAGACATTCATTTACTGTCATTGTTCATGCCTGTGCAGTTTGCAGTGTTATAGTCTGACGAAGTTTGCATTAGCGGTTGAAGACTTATTTGTTACAAGTGTGGCCCAAGAATTCAACGCCAAACTGCATAGAAAAACGGACAGTTTTATAGTATGTAGCACTGTTGAGCAAATATATGCATGCCTCGAATCACACACATACCCATACCCACTCTCAGAAACAAGTCTTAAATTCGAAACACAGATCATTCATAAAGCAGCATATTTTAGGATCATTAAAATTATATTTTATCTGAAATGAAAGAACTCCATTTAGGGAAGATTTTACAGAACTAGGACTAACCGGTCACACATACAATGCCGAATTATTACCGATACCCTAATCATTTCGTAACTTTTCCGTTTTCTATTAAATAAATGACCCATTTTGGATCATAGCTACGGCTACCTAAAATAAACAGATTTCTGAATGAAGTTTGGAGTGACACGCTATGTAGCAGGGCTACTTAGCAGGCTAACTTGGTTTGTTTGCCAGCTTTATAAAACGTTACTAACCAGTTTCGTCCTTCTGGGGTGTTTCGGCACTCGAGGCAACAACGTTTGTTACGATATTTCTGCGGAGAGAAGTGTCGACCTTGTGTAGACTCTTCACCAGGCCAGCCCTTACTCTCATATGTAACCTGCACACGGCAAAGGGGGACGCCATTGCTGCTCCCAAGTAAACCGAAAGGCGCATGCGCGGGGCTATGTCTACGGCAACTCAGAGGTACCAAACTTGACGCATTGTAGCGATATAAATGTAGGCGATATATACAGTATTTATGGATGGTGTGTTATATTTCTACTGAGTCCTTGTTAGCTATTACAGTTAGAGCTATATCTTCAATTTGAATGTCCTCTTTTAACTTATTCTATGTCTAACGAACTAAAACGTCCCTAATATTGTTACATTTCTATGCATATCTATTTATTCTGTGATTTCTACTAAGAGTTGCTTTTGTAAAAAACAACAAAGCACATATTTTCCCAGAGGAAAACACCCAGCGATTCTGTGGAAGGTGATGTCCTGTGTTTCAGCAATCATGCCGCGTGAAATTTGTTTTTCATCTGAGAAAACAGAAGAAAGGGAAAACGAAACCTACAGAGAGTGAAGCTGGCACCTGACATTAAAGCCTAACACCACCCACGCACTGATCGACTGTACTTCCTCTGTTTACTTCCTACAAAGCACAAACCGACCTCTCTCAGGCACTCAGTCTGCGTTGGACGCTGGACACACACGATGGAAAGACGGCAGTCGCGTTAAGCTTCTGAGTCAAACGTTACGGCAAGTACGTGCGTGCTTTTTGATCGTTACTCATCTCAAACCAAAAATAACCGCTAAATATTTTCGAGATTGCCCTTAGCGTCTGTACAACTGCTCGGATTATTACTATAATTACTATTTCTAAAGGCAGGTATTCGGAATTTGCCACTTTAGATTGTGATCAACTCTGGTGCTTATTTGCTCGTTTTTAACATGGGGTTTGGTGGGCAATGGGTTTGTTACAGTTTATCAAGGTGCTCACACAATGTTAAAAGAAAAGAAATAATAATGATATTACAATATGTAACACAATATACATAGAATAGAAAATGTATATATAGGTATATACATATAAGTAAAAAAATAAAAATAGAAATATAATAGGAGTATGTACCTTATAATAATACAATATATGACAATATATAGACAGAAGTAAATGTATGCCACAGTATGTGACCGACAGAAATGAAATCAGTAATAGCAGTGATGCCCAGCTTTATTGTGAAACTCCCTTCATTTGCTTGGAAAACAGTCCTTTAAGCCCCTCCCAGCTGTGTGTCCAGTCAGCTGAATCAAAGCTTGAGTGTTTCAGTGAAGTGTATCCTGCCTCTAGATTCAGATTCAGTCATTCACTGACTGATCGCTGACACGATCTCCTGCGAGCCTGAACTGAGCAGAACAATCTCAATGAGCTGACCTCCTGATGTTTCATTTCAGAGCGGGCTGCACGACTCGAGCATCAATATGGATTACAAATATACTGGAGTAGAACTGCTGTTGGCTCACATGAATATAGAAGACATCATCAACGCTGCAGAGACACTGTATCAGCTTGAGGAGGAGGAGGACCGAGGCTTGTCATTCGAAGAGGAAGGTCTCTCCCATGAGGAGATGGATGAGAACGAGGAGGCAGAGGGCTCAGGGAGTCCGCAAAAGGACTACGTCGATGGGGTTGGCGGTGTTCGTTACGGGACGGTGACAGACCTCTTGTCCTTTGTCAACCTGCTGTCTAACATGCAGACAGCAGCCCTGCAGCACCTGCCTGAGGAGATGGGGGTCCTGCTGAACAAGGTGAGAACAAGACTCCATAACAAGCCTGCATGTTAGAGTGCATATGACCTCCTCTGTAACTGTGTTTGCATGTTGATAAGAGTATTTTCTTACATGTTTTTAAACTGATCTTTGTTGGCAGAAGTACTTGGCTATTAAAAAAGGCCGCTACCAGATCAACATGGACGTGCTTCTGTTTCCATGGAAATTGACTTACAAGAATCCCGGCCCTGGCCTTGTGCCCAAGGGCTCATTTGGGAAAGTCCACTTGGCTCAGGACATCACCACCAGGAAGAGAATGGCTTGCAAACTGGTGAGTCTAGCTGAGCAGCCGCTGGAATCTACCCTGTGCTGACTTCTCGAAACTCTTTCTCTTTGTGCCAAATACTTCACCTGCCAAGTACTATGTGTTCGCACAGCAGCTACTCCTGTGTTTGTACAATGAATGATAATGTCAACATGACATTTGTTATGTTTTCCCTTGAAGTAAAAGAGGAACAGTCCTTAAATGAAGAACCAGGTCAAACTTACAAAATGGGCCAAGATTAATGCAAGAATGGAAATTTAAGAGTAACTTTCCACCACAAGTTAAATTCATAATGAAATCGACAGAACATGGTTGTTGTTTCTTATCTGCACTCCTCATCTGAGGGGGCTGGACAGTGTTTACTCTTTCCTATATGGAAAATATTGACAAATGATGAAGGAGTTTCCTACCCAGTCTGGTTCTATCACCACAATGCTATGTTGACACAGTGTATAGTACACACTGTTACCAATACACAGAGGAGGATTACTGGCAAGACTTTGTGTGCTTGGTATCTGGGTTACAACAGATTTCCTGCATATCAGCTGAAAGCCAATTTAAGGAGGGCTAGCTTTGTTTTAAGACTGGAAGCAGGGGGAAACAGCTAGCCTGGGTTAGGGCCCCATAATTATTGTTTTTACATTTCTGTTTGTGTACAGATGAAACAAACTAGATATAATGTGTTAATTAGTGATTACTATTAGACAGAGCCAGTCCAATAACTGTTTCCCCCTGCTCCAAGTCTTTATACTAAGCCAAGCTAAGCTAGCACAAATAGCTCTTTTTACACTTTAGCCTTTTTACAAAGACTACAGAAACAAGATATAACATGTAAATTAGTTAGTTTTATAGATGCTAATAGGTGTTTTTTTTTAACCTTCAGACACTGCCAGGCTAACTGCTTCCAGTCTCTATGCTGAACTAAGCTAACTAGCTGCTGGCCATAGCTTCATGTTGACAATACAGATATGAGAATGGTATCAATCTTCTCAACTAACGTTCAGCTAGGAAGCAAATAAGAATTCCCAATAATAAACATTTCATCATTCTCACAGATCCCCATGGAGAACTTTAAAGCAGCCGATGTGGAGTTCCAGGCCCGGTTCCGCCATGAGAACATCGCCGAGCTCTACGGCGCAATTCTCTGCGACCAGAACGTCCACCTGTTCATGGAGGCCGGAGAGGGCGGCTCCGTCCTGGAGAAGCTGGACAGCTGTGGGCCCATGAGAGAGTTCGAGATCATCTGGGTGACCAAGCAAGTCCTGCGGGGCCTGGAGTACCTGCACTCACACAACGTCATCCACCACGACATCAAACGTAAGAAAAGGAAATACTTGTTGTTCACTGTTTTTGATGAATGTACTGCATTGTACTAGGCTAGTACATATTATCCAGGAAATGATGCAATGTCAGTTTTTACCCTTGTTACGTCAAAGTCAAGCCACAGACTGATACACTTCATGTGAATAGCTCTAGAGAGTCTTAAGTGCCAAGCAGAAACAGTGAATCAGTCAAGACAGCCACAAACCAAACAGACCACAGAAATCTGACAATATTACCTACTAGGTCTGACAAACGTGTTTTGAGGAGGTGTTCAAAGGTAGCCAGGTCACACTGACAAGAAATCAGGTAGCTAATGACTTAGAATACAAGAACAGATGCTAGTAAAACTGGGTGTGGATGAGGTTTGATGTGAGGTAGTTTCACGTTGGTTGGACCACGTTGGTGCTGCTGGGATCAAAGCATTCTGCAGAGCCGCCTGTCAGCCTCATGGCCTAAAGGCTGTTTGGTGCCTGGAAATTCCAGCCTTCTTCTCATGCTCCCTCAGGCTTAAATGTAGGGTCCAGAGAGGCTAAGTGACTTATGACAATGGCCAGCCTGGACCTCTGACATGTTGCTGTGGTTCTCTGTGTTTCCTGCCTGCACGATCAAAATATGTAATTAAACCTTGGTGTGGTTTTTAAGTGCAAGGATGAGACTTTTCACAGAAGGCCTGCCCTTAAATTATCTGTCATATTCCTTTGCGAAAAGCATGAGACATGCTTGACATCTTCTTGGGAGGCTTCAGTGGCCCTTTCCCAGATGAACTCAATGCAAAGTGAGTTCAGTATGTTTAAAAAAAGTCAGTAAAGTTTTTTATGCAGCGTGATGCATTTGCATTTATCACAATCCCTGTAACGTCCAACATCATAGCCATCAGTTTATGTTTACAACACTAACTAGTTGGGACTCAAAGCACAAAACTTGATACAGTGTTTTTGAGTTTATTCAGTATCACAAAACAAAATATCACAATACTAAGTAAGTATATCAATATTTTCTTTCCTTCCTACTAAATATAATCTCAAATGCCAACTTGCACAGCAAAGCACAAATGCAGAAAATACTGTACACTCACTGCTACATCTGTGAATCTTAACTATTATTTCTCTGATTTTTTCAGCCAGTAACATTGTCCTGATGTCAGACAAGGCAGTGCTGGTGGACTTTGGCCTGACGGTGCAGATGACAGAGGATATATACATTCCCAGAGACATGAGAGGAACAGAAGTAAGAAAATAATCCAGAGATCTGATAGAGTCTTACAGGCTGTTACTGTAAGCCTATAGTGAATGCATAAACCTAGGAAATAAACCTAGTCCAATCTGTACTTGTATTTCTATTCTGATCTGAGTGTTCTTCCTAGAAAAGGCAGCACACTTATTGACTCATGACTCAGGCCAGACTTCCCCAGGGATCAAAAGAAATGAGTCTGAAGACTTGTCAGCACTTGTCTCTGTCGTTTCCAAAATCATTATAGAAAGTCAGTGATTGGCAAGCGTTAGCAGAGCAGTTGGTACACTCATTGGCCTCACTGATGCTAATAATAGTCTGCTTATGCTTAAGGTTCTCACTGCAGATGTAACCAGCACTTTGGGAAATTTTAGGATTAATCCAAGAGAATTCTCACAAGCCTATTCTCCCATCATGTGTCTGCCTAGCAGCTTTCCCATGTTTTGACCTGTTGTGTCTATATAGGTCTCGCTGGGCCTCTCATGGCTTGGCTTGTGGAAAGTCCCAGGGCAGACACTATGCAATAA